AGCTCCCCAAAGCTTTAACTTTGCTACTACAGGAAAAGCAGAATTGGGCTCCCAAACCAGGCAGGCACGAACCACATCTGTTCTCAGACACACTGGAATTAACTAATGAGATACTGATGCTGTGTGTTTGCATCTGGACGGGCAAGTCTGCACCAAACTCCTCAAATACAACATGAAATAATTATGGGCACTCATTTCTGTGACTTGTCCTACGGCCCTCGGTGAAGTCAAAGCCTTGTTTGTGCTGTTTTCCAGAAATATCCATTACATTTCATAAGTAAAACTTAAAGCTATTTGGAACTGTATTTATTGAGCTAAAATTAGACCTACCAAACCAGGTCATCTTCGTTTCACGAACCTGATCATGTTCTCTTCTGGATAAACATAAAAAGATACAGAAAGCTGAAGCTGAACAGACTCATGGGCAATATGTACTATTGTTTGGACCAAAAAAAAAAATGAAATAGGGTTAATATGAGCACCTCAGCTGATTTGAACTTGTGGCTCACTGAAAACAAAGCTTTTGTAATGGGGATGTTGATACAACCTTAACTGTAACAGCACAAACACTGCTACTGAAATACAGTTTTGAGTAAGCTCCATCAAGGAGTGTTTTGTAAATGAATAATGACTTTGCTTAAAGCTAATCAACATCAAGTGTGTTAAAAAAGATGAAATAGTGCTGGAAGGCAGTGGGAGGTAGAGGAGCCTCAAAGTGCAAACAGGTGCTGATCTCCCTTCAGGGGGGATTGAGTGGCACAGACCTTACAGGCCTGTCACTTCTGATCAAAGCAAGCTCCAAGACCACATAATCACCATCACCCACCTTTTAAAGGATGCCCTGATTTATCTTCTGTCACTGTTAATAACTTAGCTACTCTGTCTAAAATACTTAAGGACATTACACAAGGATAACATTTCAAAAATTTCTTTTTTTTTTCTTTTTTAAGAAATGTGTAAATGTTTTTAAACTAAAATGCACTGAAGTTCATCCTTTGAGGCCATCTGTTGTTGGAGACCACCTGTCATCAAACGACCACCTGAGCACATAATATCCCATCATTACAGAACTATCCCCTTGAAGCCATGGATTTTAAGTGTTAGAATAAGAAGGGTGTGTGTTACAGACACTCTTGTTACTGGGCTGTTCATGGAGTTTGAAGCCACGGGATGACAGCCACATGTGAATAATGGCTGTATAATAACATACATATGAAATGCTACTTTGGGAAAAATCTGATAAGAGATCTGAACATTCCTTGACTGAGCTCCTCACATCCTTTCAACCATGGTGCTTGCACTGTACTGTTCAAAGTGTGCTAACATGTCACATCTCAAACCAAACCCTGAAACTACTGAGTTTAATTATATTTCTGTTGATAAGAAGCATCAGTATTTCACAGAGAAACAAGACTTTTACTATTGTAATTAGAATTTTGTGGAGTTTTTTTAGCTGAATCCCATTTTTCCCTGCTGATCTCACACTCCTACCTCATTAATCTCTCTTCAGTAAAGAAAACTATTCTACCAAGTTGCCCTTCCCAGAAAAAGGAACTTTCTACCTTTCTTCTACCTGGCCCTAAGATACAAATCTCCCCCTGAATGCTGAGACACGACAACACAGTTTGGGACAATTTCTACCCCTTGAGAGTAATGTACTGCTCACACAGGAGAGAACAGGGCACCTGTACACAGGCCTGTGGCAAACATCTGATTCTTGTTTTCCAGTGTATGTAAACACTAACAGAATGCATTTCTTTTAGAATTTTTATCTAATAAATGCCTTGAGAGCACCTGAAGAAACATCCTATAAAATTCAACGAATAAAAATACCGACACGATTTCACTAAGATTTAAAATCACTGTGAAAACTAAAGAAGTTTCAGTAAAGAATATTTTTGAGATATTGTCTTAATTTTTTGTTTTATTATCATTTAACTAATAGCAGCCTTCTAAGACAAGAATAAATTCTTTGTTAATTATTAATAATGCTATATTAAATTAATGAAATGTTGTGAAAGTAAGTATATAATTTTCCATTAACAGTCATGAGCTTCCAATTCCTTAAATAACAACTTCAATATTAAACTGTTAGGAGTTATGGGACAGTGAGAAGTACAATTTCTGAAATAACTAGTTCTTAAGAGGTCCTTAATGACAACCATTACACTCAGCTGCATTTACAGTGTGCTAGTCCTGATGGAAAGAAATTGCCACCATTATACACTTGAAGAATCTCATTTGCTTACCAGTAACTCTCCCCCAAATAATAACTCCTGAATAACTGCAAACATGACATAAAACCTGAATATTTAGTTTACAGCTTAGCAAGAATCTATTTGTAACATGATGCATCGAGCCAAGCTTTCATATTTGGCATTTTCATGGAACTTGCAGTTCTGCTCTGGTGACAATGAAGGGCCTCAGCTGACAACTGATTAAACTCAGGAAGGCAGCAGGAATTCAGCCACTGCTGAACATCCTTGTGCAGTTTTCCCTCCTCCAGGATCCCAGTGGCAGGCTGTAAGAATTCACCATCAGCAATGAAAGCAAATAATTTTTTTATAGGCTACAAAAACAGCGAGATGTTTAGTTCAGTGACTGATATATTTTAGAGTGAAGCCTGAAACCATTCTCTGAGCAAACCTGTCACTATTAAAACCAGCACTAACCTTTACATGGGAGATTAAATTTGTGTGAAGCAGACACGTTCCTGGCAAGGTGACACGCACCACAAAACACGTATTTGAAGGGTTCCTGTAGCAATTTGCAACACACAGGTTATTTTAAAACTCTGTATTTCTTAGGATCTAATGCAAGTGATCTTCCTCAGAACATACACAGATGCCCAGGCATTAATTCAGGAGTTTCAGAAGTGGATTTGTTTAGGGCAATGTCCTACTTTGGCTCCAGCAGGGTGTCCTCTGACAGGATTAACTTCCAGGGCACCTAAAAGCTGTGTATTAAACTGTGGCAAAAATATGTTTTCTCTTCCCCCAAAAGATAAATTTTAGATTGAAAGCTGCTTTGCATATGTGCATTTTAAGTCAAGTTGATCAGTAATACTTCCAATATCATTTTTGTCATTCAAGTTTCTAGTCATTGCTGGAAATACTTAAAAAGAGTACAAGAAGGCAAAAAAATTATCTGTCACACTACACAGACAAGTTGAAAAAAAGAGACCACTAATGCAGAACCTTTTGTTGTAGAGTTCCCAGCCACGAGATGACTGTCACAGGGATCCTCACTCTCCCCAAGTCCACTAAGACCTCTCTTCTGATCAAAAACCTGACCAAGGGTTTTCTAGAAGAGCCACTGTGAGAAAGTGAGGTTCTATTCCTGTCTCCCCAGGTGAGCACACAGCCCGGGCAGTCACCTGCAGGGACAGCCTCAGGTTCACACAGAATCACGCTCCACTAAAAACTTCTTGAAAATGTATTTACAATTTTAACCTTATCAGATAACTTTCCTAAAGTGGTGTTCAAATCCTGTATTTCCCGATCTTCCCTGAGTCTTTTCACAAATAAGGGTGATACTTTCAGTAGTGTTGGAAGGAGGGGGGGAAAAAAATTCCCCGAAGGGTAGAGGCTGAATTGTATTCAAGCTGTGTGAAGTGAGCCAGCTATCTTTAACATGCTGAACATACCCTATGCAAATTTTAAAGGGGTGTTAACCAAGGATCATTGTTGTAATCTCGGTGCTTTGTAAACATGGTACTACTCTACATCACTGCAGCTTTTTACATCTCTAAAGCTTCTTCCCATTCTGTTTTCTCAGCTGTAGAGGCTCACAGAAAGATGCAACTTCAAAATCCGTTTATTTAATTCCAACTTGCAATTTCGAGTAAACGACTGTTCTCTCTGCTTATACTTGCAGGCAAGTATAACAACAACCATTATATTCGAAGTGTGCTTTTATCAAATAATGGAGGGGAAAAAAAGTTTATTAACCGCAAAGCACATCAGAGAAAGTTTAGAACACACAAAATTATCAAACTAAAGAACATATTTTATTTTTAATAAAATAGTGGAGCATGAAAAATAATTGTATATTACAAATATATACAGCACAAAACTGTGCACCCCCAGCACAGTAAAGAGCATCACTCTATACAAAGCTTCCCTTTGCAGAATCTAGTGCTTCTTGATCTATTCATAGTGAGAATTTGTTTAACAATAGAAAGAGTCAATAAGCCCTTTGGGTCTCTTTGAATTGATCCCCCCCTTTTTTTTTGCACAAATCAGTCCAAACGTGTATAACATTGGCTTGATTTCCATTAAAAAGCCACAAAATGTAACACTAAAGGGTTTCTGAGGACTAGACCTCTTAGTTCTTTTGTTAAGAGATTTCTTTTGTTGTCTTTATGTACAGCAAAATACTTGTTTCTCTTTTCATGTCACGGTAAGAAAAAAAAAAATGTATTGCACATTATTCTTATTCACAAAGTTTGTGTCTGGTGCAGGAAGTTTCTCTTTTGGTGAAAGAATATTGGTGAGCATTATAGATTGAACCTATTTTTAGGCACTCCAAACCCACTAGGCTGAGTTGTAAAGGACTTTAAAGTTAGCACGGAAGTTGCTTTCCTGGATAGAATCCTTACTGAGGATAGGCCTCCTTGGGACCTTCGAGTCCCTGAAGAGACAATGCTTGCTTGGGCACTTTTAAAAGCAAATCGTTGCTCCACAAATCTTGGCTATACCTTGTTACTCAGAAACCTGTAGGAAATCCAGCTCAGCTACATGGGAAAGTTAATTGTTTGTTGTTGTGTTTGGTTTTGCTTTTATGTTGTTTTTTTTTAAGCTCCTTTTTTTTTTAATCTGAGGGCTGGGTGCAATACTTAACTAAAAATTAGTAACAGAACAGACTGTTTTAATTCACAATATTTCTTTCACTGAAAACCTTTCCGTAAGTACATTTACCTTCAGTTTTTCACCAGGTCCTGAATTCAGCATGGCATACACTTTTTGTGCCTTGAGATATCAAACTGCTCTGACAAAATAAGCACCATTAATTATTTTTTTTTAATTTCTGACTGCTACTGTGGACGTGTGTAAGTCTGTAAGGTGAGATACAGTCTTCTCTAAAACCTGCTCACACACAGGTGGGTGGTTGTAATGTCGATTCGTATTTTGCAAGGTGAGTTTTCTGTGGATGTTGAGGTTTTTTGTAGATTCCACTGCTCGTAATGACACTCGCAGGTTTTCTCCTACTTCTCTTCTTTAATCTCCGACTACAAACATTTTGCCAGGATTGAAGAGTCTTGGAAGTCCAGATCCACATGCCACTAGTAATGCCCACAACTAATAACATAAAAATTTTGACCATAAAGATTTCTACTGCTGGGATAGAGTTATTCATCATGCAGTCTAAATTTTTAGTCTGATTGTTCATCTTGCATTTCTGTTGAGTGGCCACAATTTTCCAATAATCCATATTCAGCCTTTCATAAAAATAGCAAGCTATCACACAGGTTGCAGGCACTGTATACAAGACTGAGAAGACACCAATCCTGACCATAAGTTTCTCCAGCTTGTCGGTGTTTTCTCCACCTGTTTTCATCACCCTCCTGATATGAAAGAGGGCCACAAAACCAGAAAGAATAAAAGAAGTGCCAATGATTAGGTAACAAGCCAAAGGAATGAGTACAAACCCCGTCAAGGCATTCACATCCATGCTGCCAACATAGCACAGCCCTGTCAGCTCGTCTCCAGCCACCCTTCTCATAACTAGGATCATTATGGTCTTCACGGCCGGGATGGCCCACGCTGCCAAATGAAAGTAGCTACTGTTTGCTTCGATTGCTTCGTGCCCCCACTTTTTCCCAGCTGCTAGAAACCAGGTTAAAGTCAAGATCACCCACCACAAGGAACTCGCCATACCAAAGTAATACAGAACCAGGAAGACAATGGTGCAGCCCGTGCTCTCCAGCCCTTCCTGGATGACATAGAGCTGGCCGCTGTCCCTGTCACAGGCGATGCTTTCAGCACCTGAAAAGAGGCGAATGATGTACCCCACCGAGTAGACACAGTAGCACATGGAGAGGAAGATAATGGGCCTCTCGGGGTACTTGAAACGCTGAGGATCTATCAGAAAAGTGAGTACAGTGAAAGCGCTGGAGAAGAAGCACAGAATGGACCAGATGGCAATCCAAATGACAGCGAACTGTTTGTCATCCCTGCTCCAGTAAACATCAACCCCTGGAGTGCAGAGCGGCGCGCAGGAAGCGCTCTTTTCCACATGGTGGAACTTGCCGGGATTTTCACAGGAGGTTCTGCTGAGGCTGTCCTTGTGCTGCTGCAGATCGTGGCCACTGCTGGGCCGCTGGGGACGAAACATGGGTGGCAGCATGCTGGACCCTCTGGGTGGCTCATCGGACCCGTTGTTGGGGGCTTCCATGCACAGGTAATTGGGGTCGTTCTTGTTGGGCAGTTTGCTGCAGTCCAAGGAGTCCGGCCACTTAAAATTGAACTGCTCCATAATAGGGGAGCACTTCAGCCTCGCCTGCTCGCACATCACCCTGCAGGCTGGGATCGGGGTAGAAACCTGCTCCGTGCACATCGGGGCGTAGAGGGAGCAGAGGAAAAATTTCAGATGGCTGTGGCAGCCGTACTCCACCAAGGGGGCAAACTCGTGCAGCTGGATGGCAGCTTCCCTCTGGTTTTCGTGCCCCATCAGGTTCGGCATCCTCGTCATGTTGTACCCGATATCCTTGCACATGGGGATCTCTATGGGCTGGCACCTCCCGTCGCCGGGGCGGTCGATGTCCATGGAGCTGATGCCGGCGCAGAAGCGGCTGAGGCAGCAGAGCAGCAGGACGGTCCTGCCGGCGTTCCCGGCCGCCGGCCCCATCGCGGCGGCTCCCGTGGGGCCCGAGCGCGGCGCTGGGGGCTGCTCGGGGGTCACTGCAGCGGCCTCCCGGCCCCTGCCGCACAGCATCGCCCCCGAGCCGGGCGAGGGCGCGGGGCGGGGGGTGGCCGTGCGGGGCAGCATCGCCCGGGCCCCGCGGGGAGCGGGGGAAGAAGGGACGGTCCCCCCAGCCCACGGATGCGCGGAACTTACTGCGGGCAGCCCGGCAACTTTCTTTTCCCCGGGCTTCCACTTTCGCGATGCGTCTTCCCGACCACCCTTCCTCCTCCTCCTGCTCTTCCTCCTTCCCGGCAGAGCGATGCCGGGATAGTTTTGGGTCCGGGCAGATCAGATCCGAGCGATCACCGCTTCCACTCGCACATGTCCCGGGAGGTTTTCTGGTGCAGCGGGTCTCTCCAGGGATTTTTTTTTCCTTTCCCTAAAACGGGTCACGGCTCCGCACTTTCGCGCCGAGAGGTGGGGATTGGTTTATCCGAGTGCAGAATAAAGGAGGAGGAGGAAATATCTAAGCCATTGAAGAGGGGGGCCTGAAAAATCCCCCCCACTCCCTCCTCGCCGCCCTCTGGTCCGGGTTTGCAATAGGTCGGCTCGGCTGCGCTTTGCCGAGCTGGGCTTGGCGTGTGCGTGTTGTCTGTGCCGGCTCCGCTCCTCCCGCCTGGCAGGAACTCCCGGGGCCGGAGCAGCTGGGGCTTTTGGGGGGCGGCTGAGTCCAGGGATAAAATAAAGTAAAAAAAAAAAAAAAAAGGCACCAAGGGAAAAAAAAAAAAAAAAAAAGAAAGACCTGTGCAGGATCCGCCTCGCATACGACATCCACTTTGCATGAGAAAGGTGAAGCTGACACGGTGATTACTTTCCAATCACTCGGAACGCCTTGAAACCTCCTTAAGGACCCCTACAGGTTCTCCTTGATCGGCACAGATTAGAAAAAGCCCCATTTGTTTCTCTCTCCTTCTGTCTTTTCCTTCCTTTCTCCTTTACCTCCCGTTGCCCTCCCTTGAAAGTTTAACAAGATTTTTTCTGTAGAAGGCGTCAGCCTGCCCTCCCTCGCTCAGGTAGGAAGCCAGGGAGAGCGAAGGCTTCAGACTTCGTGTCTCCTAATAAGAGGGTTGAAGGTGGTGCCTCCTTGACTGCCTTTATTGGAGGGGGGGCAAAGCTTTAGCAGGGAGGATGTGGGTAGGAGGATGCATTTTATGACGAGTGCTATAAACTCTCCGCTGCCAGGGTCATAAAATATGGTTGCTTTCAGCCTGGAATCTCAGCTGTTTTCAAATGTCGTGCTTTGTCTCGAATTCCTAAATGAACAGGACAGGCAGGGTTGCTGAAAAAGTACCTGATTATGGTTTTAATCAGGGTATGGCATCACTCGAAAAGTAGCTTGCCTTTTTTTTTTTTCTCTTCCTTAAATAAGAAACCCTAACTAGAGACGTACCTTTGGGGAAGTTGCTTCATCCACTATAGAAAAGACACTTATAGATTTGGGAGACGGGAATCATTCTAAAGTGAACTGCGTTTACTTTCAAAGTTAGGCTTTGAGATTTATTTTGCTTGTTGGTCTATGAGAGCCAGAAGGAGGAAGTTAAATCCTAAGCCAAACTATAATTCGCAATTTTACAGAGGGGAAAGGAGCACTTTGTGATCAGAAGTCAAAGATTAGGTCTACTCAACCCCCCTTTCCCCCCTCCTTTGAGCCTAGTTTTAGCGAACATATTAATGAAGAAGGCAAATCTCTCTTTCTCTCCATTCATGCTCACCCACACAAACCGGGCTCCTCTCCATTAGGGCCTGTTTCTTATCGAAAAGAACACGGATTCTCCTGGAAACTCCCAAATCCCGCAGGGTCAGAGTTAATACCCCACCAGGCTCTAGAAAGGAAACTGTTGGCTTCCTCAATTGTGATAAGGGTGAAATGGATCCAAGCAAGGACAACAAACCAGGGCTGATGTTTGCCTTTGAAACCCCTGAAGATGTGGCTAGTTTTTGCCCAGGAGTAAAAGCCGCTATAAAAAGGTTTTAAAACAGTAGTCCTTTTTGTGGCTTTTCAGTGGATCGAGGAGATTATATTTATAAAGTCCTGGACTTAGGGACTGACCTTTCCTTGGGCACTTTTAGATTCCTTAGGGAATGCTACAAAAGCAGGCAGTGTTATGTGCAAAAAAAAAAAAAGCTTTATTTATTTTAGTGTGTCTGTGTGTGTGCATGTGTGTGAGAGAGTGTGTGTTGGGGCATTTCCATTCTTCATTAATCTAAGCCTGTTTTCTTAGTATTTGTATTCATCCTGATTCCTCTTCTAGAGAGCTCAGCTGGGGGTAGTAGGGAAGTGTGGGGAAAGCTTTTACAAGGGATAAGTAAATTCTACTTTAGAGAGTAGAATACTTTAAAAAGTAGAATTTAAATAATAATAAAGAGTAGAACTTAAATAGTGCGTAGAATGAACATACTCAATGTTTGCTTTGCTCAACTTGATTGTTTGGGAGCTTGTTTTTATTTCTTTTTTTCAACAAGTATTTTTGTAAAGCATTTTCTATCACCATTGCTATTAAAGTAATCTAGAAAAAATACATGAAATAAAACATGGCCTGTTTCTTCTACAGCACTGATAACAACCTTTTTCTCCTAAGAGGCAAAAAGAAACATAAATGAAAGTGAGAAAAAAAAAAAAGCAGGGGGAAACCTCCAACCTTTGTAGTTGTGTCTCTCTTAATTGATCTTTCATGTGCCAATTTATATCAGCCTTGTTTTTCTAGCCATTATTTTAGCCAGTGCATCCCTCTTTAGATCATTTATTTTACTTTCTATATTTTTAAAGAGCTATCTCGGAGTATCAGCCATTCAGCTGAGCCTGAGTCAGTGAAAGTAACAAATAGAACATTATTATAGAAAAATGAGAGCGCTGAGAAATCAGCAACTGGAAGATACCTCTGTAACTAATAAATGAAAAGAGCCTTTTGATGGCTCCAGCTGAAAAGATATTTTATTTTATTTTTTTTCTCCTGTGTGTGGGATTTGAGATGTGTGATTCTATGGAGCAGCCAGGCACCCCTGCTGCTAGGCCCTGGCTAGGAGTTGGCCCCCCTCTGGCAAATGTTATGGAGAATTGGGAGGAATTTTATGGCTGTCTTTTCCCTCAGCTCTTTTTTCTTTTGTCTTCTTTGAAGAATGACTTTAGACATTTTATTTACATATTTAACCATGGATGAAAGAGGAAAAAGAAAGCATTTGGGCCGTTGTGGGAATAGTGATATGTTTAAATTAATGGAAATCTTATTAGGCTTCTAAAATTTTAAGCAAAAGATTTTTAATGAAACTTTATAATTAAACATGATTTCAAATAATGTGCCAACTCACAGGAAGGATGCATTTCTCCCTCAAGCTATCCATCTCCCCACCTCCCAAAAATGTGCAGAGGAATAATCTGTATCTTAAAGTCCAGCTCTTCTTCTGTCCCATAAGGAAAAGATTAAAAAACCCGAATATTTAATAAAGCATGTGATAATTCAAACCATGACTAAATATTTTGTAGGTAAAGCAAACCATAAACAAGCCAAGAAAAAAGACACACCAGCACCCCTCATCCCTGCAGTGGCAAAGTTTAATGCTGTATAATCTATTACAGTGCCAGTGTAATGAAATACTTTGATATGGGGAAGGGTGAAAATCAAAGTTGCATCTATTCTACCCATGTTAGAGTCAATGGAAATTACAGTGCCGGGCAAGGGTTTCTGAAATGGGATTAAAGAAGACCCAAATAACCCATTTGAGATAAAATGTTCTGACACTTCAGCAGCAAAGAGAAATGAAATGATCAGCTTGGGGAGTTGAAGAGTTAATTAGTACATTAAAGATTTTTAGTTCAATAGTCTAAATTACTTATGATTAACAATAGTGTGTTATGACAGAACGTGAATTGATATTGGCAATTCTATGTCTAAGAAGTCTGTGGCTTTAACTGTTATTCAGGTTTGATATTTCTGGCCAGCTGTTTATTACACAAAAAATAGAGATCAGTTTAATGTTATTTCCACTCAATAACCCTACCCTCATCTGTATTTGTATGCATTTATTCAGATACTTTTTAACTCCTTACATCTGCTACGCATTTCATTCCAGTAACAAATTCTAACATATATATTAAAAAAAAAATGTTAGCCAGGCAGAAGATAATAACTGTAAAATAAAAAGATCACACACACACAGAAAGAAAGCTGATAACTATTTTAGCAATTTTATAAGCCCGTATTTCTTACTGAATTTCCACTAGATATTAATAAAATTAAACGGCATGCAGAGAAATGATTCCTTTTTAAACCAAATGGGCTTGTTTTTCCCTAGTCCCAGTATCTTTGTAGCAGTTTTCCTCCAAAATTTAAGTAAACATGCCTGCCTAATAGGACAGGCACACTGAGAAATATTCCCATGCAAGTGCGAATATTCACAATGCACAAAAGTTTTAATTGCCTTAGAGAGCCACCACCACCAACAGTTAAAAGAATTAAAAACAAAAACAAATCATAAATGGCTGAGTGGGTTGTATAGTATTGCTCTAATACAATTTAGCTGGCTATTTTAAGGGCACTTCCCTTGAAATGTGGTTTGAAATATTACCAAAGGTTCGACGGGGTGCATTAGTGTGAATTGCAAATCAGAACATTTCTTTAATCCCCTTTTCATGGCCTGGCTTCGGATCAGTGGCATCTAAGGGACTCCCCACTGATTCTGGCTCAGGAGGAACCATTCACTGGGGCAGCTTCCCTCCTCTATTCCCACAGTCCAGAAAACAACACCACAGACAGACACCCTCCAACTAAATTAGATTAAACTCCTTCTCTTCCACAGCACATTAGCCTTTTCACTGCCCAAGATTCATTATTCAGCTACTCCTAATTTAAAGATGCAGTATTTTTCTCCTCTTAGGAACGAAAACAACAAACAAAACTAAAGGCAAAGCAGGGAAAAAAAAATAAAGACAAGAAAAAGGAAAAAAAAAAGATTCCTGGTCAGAAATAAACCTGATAATTCTAAAATTACATAAGGGTAGGAGAATATCCTTTTTGCTTGTACTCTAATATTACAAGGATGTTACAATTTTAAAGCACAGGTCACAGCAGAAAGTTCTACCTACACTAAAATCAAGGACAGGCCCAGTGAAAAAAAGAGAAAAGAAAATACACGCAGATTTTCTTTTCTTATATACACCATTCAATAAACTTTATTCATCAGTCTTTTTGAGTGCACTCTTGGAGACAAATCTAGGCTTGGAAAGGCATAAACATCGTGAAAACTGCATATGATAGTGAGGATTAATTAGTTTTCTTGTCATTTCCTCCCTCATTTCCAACCATAACTTGTCCTCTCTTACTTTCCAAGGTGAAAACAGCCTTTTAGAATCTCTCTCTTATTCAGGTATGAGTCTGCACCTCTTCACAAGTACAAATGAGAGCAGCTAACAATGGACAGGAGCAGTAAGACCCCGAGCAAACTGTCTCCTG